TTGTGGCCTTGAAGCCATTGTAAGGAATTAGGAATTTATTCTAAGTGTGAAGTGAAGCATTAGACTGTTGTATAGGTAGTGATTTTATTTGCTTCACATTTTTGAAACGACACTCTGTGAAGAACACTGGAGGGATCAAGAGAAGAGCAGAAAGATTAAGAGGCTGTTGGAATATTCTAAGCTACAGATGATGACAGCTTAGACTAGTATAGCAATTTAAAATGGTGACAAGAGGCTAGACTTAGAAAATATTTTGAAAGAGAGGTTGATAGAATTTGTTGATAGATTAGATATACTGCAAAAAGAAAAGAATCAAGGGTGACTCCTAGATTTTTTTGTCTTGAGTAACTAAGTGAATGATAAAGCCATTTCCAGAGATGAAGAGGGCTTTAGAAGGAGTGAGTTTGGTGAAGGAGGGTGTGGGAGATTAAGAGCAGGTTTTGGGGTATACCAAATTTAAGATGCCTTAAATTAGTATGGTGCTGGAGGGAGCTATGGGAACTTGGGAGAGTTTTTGGTTTGTTTTTAGGATGAGAGAAATTATACATTTATATGGTAAAAAATTTGCTTACCAAAAAGAGGGAAAAATCAGTGGTGTAAGAGGCGATGGGCTAGTTGGCAAAAGTAACATTCCTTAATAGGAAAGTTGGGATGGGATCCAAAACAGAAGTGAAGGGGTTTGGCGCGGGAGGAAATATGGGCACAGATATGGGTAGGTTCAGGGTGAGAAAAGAAGTCCCTTATGATTGCCTTGTCAGTATTTTCTCAATAAAATAAGCAAAGTCATCTGCTGAGATGGGAGGAAGGTGACAGAACTTTGAGGAGAGATGACAGGACATGATGTGGTTTGGCTCAGAGACAGAGAAAAGTAATTCACAAGTGTGCATTCAGGCTTGAGACATTGATGAGAGCCAAATCTCATTTGTGCTCATAAATTTAAAGTGAGTCCAGCCAGAACAGTTGTTTTTTGTGATGATTCCTGTATCTTGTGTGACAGGGCTATCTGTTCTCTTCCATTGTTCTGAATATTGATTCTAATGCCAGGATTACACTTAACTTTATGTTTCAGTATCTTACAGGGCTAGTTTTTACTTCGTTTTTATAGAAATTATTTTTGTTTCTTTAACAATTTTTGTTTTGTTTTTGAACATTTAATTTTTATTATGTTTATGACTTTTATTTTAAGAGAGTCTGATTTAAGTCCAGATTAAATTTGCCAAGGTAATATAAAATGAAAGAAGAGGATATTATTATTTCTTTTAATTATAACTTATTCACTTTAATAATTCATTTAACAAATATTGATTAAATGCCCATAAGGCCTTGCATTATACTTTAAAGATGCAGTGGGGAAAGAGATCAGAGAAAAATCATGGTCCCTATTTCCATATAGCTTGCAGTCTAGGATAGAGGTCAACACCCATGGCCCTTCAGTCAAATCCAACCCACCTCTTGTTTTTTTATTTTTATTTGTTCTTATGCCAGTCAAATTTAGCAGAGGGGGGTTTTATACTAAGTTTAGTGACACTAATGTTAGTAAGTTCTGATAACACACTTCCATCAGACCAGCCCCACCTATCTCTTGTACAGCCTTTTTTGTACAGCCTTTTTTGTATAGCCTGTGAACTAAAAAAAAATTTTAATTAAACATTTTATTTTGACATAATTATAGAGTCACAGAAGATTATAAGAAATAATACAGAGAGATCCTGTGTATTCTTTACCCAGTTTTTCCCAATGGTAACTTTATGCAAAACTATAGGATAACATATAGTACAACCAGGATATTGACATTGATACTGTCAAGGTACAGAACATTTCTATCAATACAAGGATCGGTCACATTGCTCTTTTATAGCCACAGGCACTTCCCTCCCACCTACACCCCCTCCTTAACCCCTAGCAACAATTAATCTACTTTCCATCTCTATAATTTTGGTATTTTATAAATATAAATGGAATCATGTAGTATATAACCGTTTGGAATTAGCATTTTTTTACTGGCAATTCATTCAGGTTGTTGTGTGTTTCAATAGTTAATTCTTTTTTATTGGTGAGTAAATCCATGGTATGGAAATGCCACAATTTGTTTCATCATTCACCTATTGAAAGTCATCAAAATTTTTTCCAGTTTTGGGCTATTATAAACAAAGCTTCTATAAACATTCTTGTGAATATAATTTTTTATTTTTCTGGCATAAATGCCCAGGAGTATATTCACTGAGTCTTATGGTAGCTGCTTGTTGAGTTTTATAAGGAACTGCCAAACTGTTTTCCAGAGTGGCTCAACCAGAGAGCAGTGGTCCTGTTTCTCTGCATCCTTGCCAGCATTTGATGTTGTCACTATTTATTATTTTAGCCATTCAAGTATGTGTGTAGCAATACCTCATTTTGGTTTTAATTTGCATTTCCCTAGTGATTAATGGTGTTGAACATTTTTTTTAGTTTGTTTATTTGCTATCTGTATATCCTCTTTGGTAAATTGTCTCTTCATGTCTTTCGCTCATTTTCTAACTGGGTTGTTTGTGGTTGTGGTTTTTTTTTTTTTTTTTCCACTGTTGAGTTTTGAGAATTTATTCTTTGTTATCTATATAGCTTGCAAATATTTTCTCCCAGTCTGTAACTTGTCTTCTCTCCCTCTTAACAGGGCCTTTCACAGAGCAAAAGTTTTTTTATCTTGATGAAGTCTAGTTTATCAATTTTTTCTTTTTTAGATTGTGCTTTTGGTGTCAAGTCTAAGAACTTTTTGCCTAGCCCTAGATCCCAAAGATTTTCTTCTGTTTTTTTTCCCCTAAAATGTTATACTTTTACATTTTATGTTTAAATCTATGATCCATTTTAGTTAATTTTTGTGTCAAGTGTGAGACTTACACTGATAGTTGTGCAATGATATCAATGTATGTTATTTGCACTCTTTTTTAGTTGGGGGGGCACAAAAACAAATATCTAGATAATTTTATTCCCAACAAGGCTTGGTATGATGATAAATAAAGCTAGACATATAATCATTATTTTCATTTTTAAATAAATACTTATTAGTGATTTAATTAAATGGTAGGTAAGATGCATATCATATTCAGAGTAAAACAAAACAAAACAAAAACCACCCATACACACACAATTTAAGTAGGAAAAATTCCATGTCCAGTATCCTATAGTATTATTTTTACAAAGAAAAAAATGAAAGTCTTAAAAAATCTTACTTTAAAGTTGGTATTTGTTTATCAATAAAGATCTGATTTTATTGTTTTCTTATTAGGTCAAGAGTCTATTCTCAACCAGAGCCAGGTTTTTAACATAACCAGTTCTAATTTTTGCTTTTTAATTAGCTAACTCTTCCTTTTCTACTTCAAACTTACTTTGTAAGGTGAAGCTAAATAAGAATTTCTCAACCAGTGCCTCTCCAAAGAAAATCTTATTAAACTATAAAACTTTACAATTGGAGGTTCTTACTTAAAAGCTGTAACATTAACCAAAAAAAAAAAAAAGTCACAGAAAGTAGGCCTTTCTCTTCTGGCCTTGAGAGGCCTATGGGCAAATATCTGATTAACATGCTAAATTTAGCTTTGAGCCAACAATTTGACTTTGGGGGGCAGCTCACCTATTGGGTCGAGTTATTGAGAAGGTGGGAGGGAGACCTCCAAGGCCTCTTATCTCTCTCCCCCTTAGTCTACAGGTCCCTCCAGGTGATCAGCCTTCTTGACTCAACACCCAGCATTTACTTTCCCTGATGTCCCCAGGCCTTGTTCCCTGGGGCTTGCTTTGTGGGCTACACCTGGGTAGGAGTTCTTGAACCAGCACTAGGACTCCTTTTCTATTTGCTATGAGTAGATGAAAGCAAGGGGTAGAAAAAATGCTCTCCCTTCATCACACTAGCCTGGTCATATTCCTGCTGAATCATTTCCCCCTCTGTTTGTTGAAGAATATGAAATGTGCACATCTATGATCGAGGCAGACAGTTAAGTGTAATGCTGGTAGGGATTGAAAATAAATAACTTGCCAACATCGCGCTGTAGCTCAGCTTGGGCAGTGCTGTGCTAGCATCACCACATGAAGCCTCTGCTGTGTTGTACATTTGTATCCTACGTTTCCCATCTATATCCTACGTTTCTTCCCATACTTCTGAATTTTTTATCAAGTTATGTTGTATGTAGACAGTACAATTACTGTGTTTAAAAAGGAAAACTGAACGTTTACCATTGCTGATAAATGAGAACTAAGACTGAGTAATTTTAATAGTATTCATTATTCTTCTGTCTTTTTCCAAAAGCCTGGGAGGCAGTAGCTTTTATTGTGAGATTAATAAAGACATTTGTCCAATTTCCCTTTGTTTCAATTCCTTGACTAAAATGTTCCCTTCACTGAAATTAGAGTTTGGGTAACATTTATCTTTCTTTCGCAGCTGGTAGTTTTGTCAATGTACTTCTAACTTATTTCAAAGCATAAAATGGCAATGCTCTAAAATGTCAAAATACTTAACATGGAAACATCTTGGGGAGTCTGTGGATAGAATTCAGAGGGTTGAAGAATTGGAGGAGGAAATTTCTTAAATATAATTTTAGAAAAAAATTGTCTTTATTTTTCTAAAAGCTTTTGAAATTTAATTTCTACTGGTGATAAAGACACAGGTACTGGCAATACCAATCACAGACATTGTCATAACATATAACAGTTACTGCAAAATATATCAAAACATTATGTTAATCGCTATTTCAGCATAATGGTAGTTCATGTTATTACGGATTAAAAATTAATATAAGTAATATTCATTATTAATTGTTAATATATTATTAAGGAAGTACATATGTAACTCACATTATATACAAACTGCTGTTTTTTTTAAAACATTTTGGTATCTATTTTGAAATCATTGGTACCCTTTGTAATTCTGTGTATTTTGTATATCCATATTAAAACATTACATTATTTACAGGAATCTTAAGCTTTTCCTCATATGTGTTCTCTTTACCAGTATTGTATTTCTTTTTCTCCTTTTGCAGCATCAGCCACTATGTGATTGTCATGTCCATGACCATCTTTCTGGTGTTTCTCAATGGCCTGGCACAGCTGCTCATGACAAAGAAACTCAGACTATGTGGCAAACCCAAAAGCCATCTCATATGATGTTGCCAAAGCCATCATTTAGCATATGGATCCTGTTTCTTCTTCTCCTTTTAAACTAAAATCCCATCAAGGATTCAATAAGAAGATGGATATTGATGAACAGCAAATGCTAATCCTATAAAGAAAATGTGTATTTGGAATCCTGAATTTACAGATTATCTAGAATAAAGGAGCTTCCTTTTTTTTTTTTTTTTAGCTTTTGCAAGCATGAGATAGTGATTCTATCCGTGGAAAAGCATAGGAAAACATTCTTCATTTTTATATTTTTGCTTTAGCTGGCAGTTCTTCTCAGTGATGTTCAGAGCACCTGCAACAATCTGGTCCCTAACGGTATAGCTTCTCATATCCCCGAAGGAGAACATGTGCCTGTGGGGGCAGTACTGGCGGCATCCAAAATCATTGCTGTGTTTGAACTTAAAGAAATCACCAGGTGGCTCCATAAATATTTATCAGCTTTCAGTGCTTGTTTTGTAGTAGTCCTAACTACTCAACAGCATCACTAGAAAGACAATGAGGGTGTGTTATTTCAAATTTACTAAAGCTTCAATAGAAAAAATTTTTGCAGGTGTTTGTCATTTTTCTTCAGTATGCAGTAATATCTTATGCTTCTTAGTGCTGTTTCTAGGGTTTTTATAGTCAACCAGCCAGATGCAGGTTTAACCTTCGCTTTTTCATATTTGGATTCTCATGGAATTTCTGGCAATACAAAAGTAGAAAATGCTTAGTATTTGTGTCTTGTCCATAGGAAAAAATTTAAAAAGAGTAGTTTTTAATGGTAGACTCAACATCTGTTACCCCTATAGCTGCCTCACGCATTATTTCAACAGGATTCTTTAAATCAGTAAACTTTCTGACAATATCACAAGAATTTTTGTTAAAATTGTAATTCCTTCTGGTTGTAAGATTCTAGTCCAAAGACCTAAAATCATCTCATTAAATTAGACTTCCATTTTTAAACTATTTAATAATTCTAATGGGCAAAATATTTTGAGAGCAATTTTTGTTTGGATTGTCCATGAAAAGAGTTTTTCAAATCACTGTAGAGTTTGCCTTTTGCTCATGGTGTGCCAGTACTTTGTGGCTGATGCTAAGCTTTGCTGGTATGTGCCCCATTTAAAAAAATAATTGCTTTTGAATTAAGTTAATTTACATTAATGATAAGGAAGCCCCCTACATATTATTAGAGTGTTCAAATTGGCAGATAAGTGAACAAATACAATTTAGAAGACTCAAAAATCAGTTCGGTGAAGTGTAGTTTCTTAATTTCTATTTATGGTGAAGTATAGTTAGAATTTATTTGTAATAATACTTCATGGAATAGCTGTGAAAGCATTATAGTATTTTTTTTAAAAGAAGTGTTTATGTTAATATAAGACCTCATGCATTAGTCTGTAATATAAAATCTAAATGGACAACTAAGAAGCAACAGTAGCAAATGATGACATTGGCAGAAAGAGAATCATGAACTTTCATATTACCTCAAAGGATTTTTGTATCTGTTTTTTTTTTTCACATGTCAGAGAAAACTTATTTTATAAACACTTATGGCTTAACCCTTTTTATATCTAGTTTTGTCTTTCATCTATTCCCAGGTTTTCATACAGCAAAATTAATGAATATTTTATTACAACGTTGTAAAAGGTGCTCAGTGCTTTATCTTTCTTTATTTTACTCTTCAAAGCATCTTTTTCTTAATATTGTCCTTTCAGGTCAGTGTGAGTTTATAGAAGAGGTAAATACACCTGTAGCCACAGGCTCTCCTTGCTGCACTATAACTGGACTCACCTGGGTACAGGCCTTTTCTGTTGTGCTGTTTCTCAGGTATCTTAAAACGTTTTGAAATGTATATTTTTATATTGAATAACAGAAAAAAATAAGACTTAGGTAAAAAGTATTTCTGTTTAAAGCTTTTATTTTTTCATTCTACCTGTGCCATGCTAGATTTCCAAATCAAGACTTAAGACATTTGCTGGTTAACATTGTTTAAATTAGGAATTGTTGTAAGAATTAAAGTGGGCATATTAAGTTAGGAAAATATTGAACAACAGAAAAGCCATGCCATGTCACAGGTGCCATGAATAAATTTGGGAGTGAACTCTAAGGCTTTAGGAAACTAATTACAGCCTGTCCATAATTTACCAGTAGGTTAATTCTCTATATTATTATATTTAGTGTGCAATATTAGAACATAAAATGCCATTTTATTTTAAGGAAAATAATGTTATAAATGGTGGTATATTCTTACAATAATGTCCTCAAAATTATTTATTAATGATGGAGCTGAACTGTTATCAGTTATATCAATATTTCTCATGAAAAACTCATTCCAGATTTTAGCCAACTCAGATGTTAGGAACATCACCTATATCAGCCCACCTCCCCCCTGCCACCTTTACACACCTGTTTTGGTAAACCCTTGCTCCTCCTTTTTGACATATAACTGTGCCATGAAAACCATGATTTCTGATGAAGCTGGCCTAGAGGGAAAGAAGAGGATTGCCTGGGTGTGGTCCTTAGAGACAGGCATAGCTGCTACAGGGTTTCCCTTTCCTTGGGAGAACAGGGTAAAAGCTCCTGTATACACATTAGATGCCACCTTGTCAGGGGGTTAAAGAGAATGAAGCTAATTCAACTCAGTCATTTGGAGAGGAGCCCCTGTAGACCAGTTCTGAGGAATCTTTTAAGAGACCAGATATAACTTGGTCATTTCTCACCTCTTCATAGGTTCTTTTTATGTTAACATTCCTCTCATTCTCTTTAAAATGTTTTAAAGTATTTTTGTTTGTTAAGCTGTGTGCTTTCAGTACTATGGTAATGTCTTTGTAGCATTTTCCCGTTTTTGCATCAGCATAGTTTATAAAAAAAAGGGTGGGTAGGATTTCTGCACTTAATATTCATTCTATAAAGAAATAAAAAGAACATTTGAGATGCATCACATATTTATTTCTTTAGATACGCTAAAACAGATTACAGTTGTTGCTCGACTCACTGCACTTAGAATTGTAGTATTTATTTGTCACATAGCAGCATTTCTCAGAGTATGGCCCTTAGAACATCTGTTCCTTGGTATACAAATATAATGTGATAATAAACAGGGTTCCTTGATCAAATATGCTTGATAAATACCTGTCAAACAAAGTCATATAGGTGTATTTATTTTAGTACTGAGGGGATGTAACTTGCTTTGTGCATTTAGAAGGGAGGAAGATAGCACTATGTACAAAATTTTCACTTGCTTGATTGCAGACCCTACGTTAGAGTCTGCCTCCCAATTGGTAAACATACTTTAGAAATGTCTCCATGTACTTTTACACTTAAAACCTCAATTTGTCACAGTTTTAAAAATAGGGTGTTGTATGCTTAATTGAATTTTTTTTGCCCTGAGAACTGGAAAACCATTTTTATTTTAACCCTTAATGTAGGAAAAGTTTAAAATGTACCTGTAGTTTTGCCTGACTCTGTAAATTATGCCTGTCATTTAGTCTTTCATGTGGGTAACTTCAGTACTGGCAGATTGCATCCATACACAGCTCATTGTACAGCCTTATCATAGTTTGGACTAAGTCTGTATACTTTATATTTTATACCTTTCCCCTAAAAAGTAAATTGACAACATTATCAGCTTGTTTTCTTATGATTTGACACTGTAAAGGGTGATTACTACTAATTAATATTTTAAAAAATGCTTAGTTATAAAAAATTCTGAAAAGAAAATATCACTCATCAAGATTTCCTTTAATTGACCATAAAGGGCTAAAATCTAAAATTCTTATTACTCTTGAGTAAACTCATGAAAAGATAAATTCTTTTTACACAAGAATTTAAATAGCTTGACTTATATCATCTACCACTTGCATCAAATATCAACAGTTCCATGAATTTGTAATTTTTGTGTGTGTGTGTATGTGTGCTGTAAGTAGATAATCTTTAGTGGACTTGACTAATATGATTTTGGAGGAACCAACAAAGATAAATGTAAATCTTATGGATATCTTAACTTTTTTTTTTTTCAGTTGAAATTTCTTTTAATTAAAAGACCAAGGGACAAGAAGCTCCTTTGTTACAGTGCATTACATTTGGCTCTTATATAGAGTAAAATATACATCAGGGAGTCAAATGTTTATACCAGCACCCAACTCTGACTTGTAGCAAGCCAACAGTGTAGCAAGATTTCTTTTTCTGGCATTGAGATTGTAATACATCTTTTACATGTAGTATGTTCTTTGGTAGACTTAATCATTCAGTAGAATTACAGAATATATTTGCCAAGAAAAATATATTTAATGTAAAATTTGAACATAGTACTTCTCACCATAAGTTATTTATATAGACTATTAACTTTTACCTAGAGTATCTCATTCCTAGAACATCCAGGAAAAGTGGTCAGTATATTAGAAGTTCCTGTCCTTGCTGATGAGAAGTAATGTCCTTAAAGCTAGAAACCATAAAATCAAATCTGAATTTGCCTGATATGCCTCTGCTTGTGTTGTCATATCTCTTATGTTATTGTAATTGGTTTTATTTTATTAAAAAATCATAACACCTCAACCAGGTGATCATCGTTAAGATCAACAGTGATAACTTACATCGATAGCATGTAACTTGGATATGATATGATGACAATGACATCATCATCTTCTATGGACCTCCTCCCCCAAACTTATAACCCCAATGTAATCAAGAGAAAAACAGACAAATATTAATACAGGCACCTTTTACAAAATACCTGGTGAGTACTCTTCAAAACTGTCAAGGTCATAAAAAACAAGGTAAAACTAAGAAAGTATCTGAGTCAAGAAAAGCCTAGGGTGATGTGACTACTCAATGCAATGTGGCATCCTGGATGGGATCCTACAACAGAAAAGGACAGTAGGTTAAAACTAAGGAAATCTGAATAAAGTGTGGGCTTTAGTTAATAAATTATTAATATTGGTTCATTAATTATGAAAAACATACCTTACTAATGTAAGATATTAATATTAGAAATCAGGTGAGAGGGGTGTGTGGCAACTCTTTGTATCATCTTTGCAAATTTTCTATAAAACTATTTTAAAATAAAAATAAAATTAATTGTAATTGTATGTTTTTAAAGTTTATACTACATACACAATAATTTTACATAAAAGCATAAGTGATATCGTAACAGATAAGCAGGGGATTGAAGGGATGATTTGTGCAGTCCCTGGTTTCCCTGTTTTCCCTATTTCTACCTTCCCTTGTTTTCTCTGTGTGACTCTACTCCTGTCACTCCCCTCTCTGAGCCATGTTAGAGCCCAGTATGTATACGTATCTTTCTTACTGAATTAGTTTCCATCAATTATTATAGTAATCCATTTAACTTCATGAATTTCCATCAGTTATTATGTTCAACATCAATATCATGTGACTGTAGTGGTCAATTGTGTCTTTGCTCAGCATTCTCTCTTCTTGAGATATCTCTGCCTCCATGGCTAACCTTGTGTTTCTGGCAGGAGCTAAATGTCTTTATGATTCTTTTCTTACCACAGTTGACTAGTTTAGGGGTGCTTATTTGACCCAAGCCAGGCCAATCTGAGTTCTTTGCAAGATTTTCAAGCTGCAACTGAAAGGAAATTTCTAGGATGCAAGGTTCAGGAGCTGTTGGTGGTCAAGTTTAATTAAGTGAGATATTCCAGTAACCTTCCAATAAGTAATCTCCTCCAAAAAAAAAAAAAAAGGGGGATTGATTTCTCTGGCAGTTCTCAGAACACAGTGGATTATGACAAATCCAAAGCTCCACTTAAAATGTTTATGTTTGTATATGTTCTTTTTATTTTCTAAGTTGGAATTGAGGGAGCAGAATGGTTCCATGAAAACTATCTCAGACTCTCACCCTGACTCACAGTACTACTTTCATGCCTAATATTACAAAATATATGTGCCTGTTTTGGTATTACATAATTAAAAATCTAAACTTTACATAGCCTCTATCCCCAAGAAATGCAAAGAGTGTTTGCATATTCATTCCCAAGTTCTCTCAGGTGCTACTGGAGAAATAATAATCACTATGGAGAGCCTGCCATATGCCAGGCTGTGGCAAGTACTTTACATTCGTTATCTCATTTAATTGAGTCATTGCAACCACTTGTGCTGGGCCAGACCTTGGGGAACCTGGTTTGGGTTCCAGTCTGTCAAGAAGAACATCTTAGACTCTGCTCAAGTTTGGTTTTACTTTAGTAAAAGCAACAAATAAGCACTGGAAAGATAATAGAGAAAAATTTGTAGTTTTTTGTTTTTTGCCCCTCTTGCAGGTCTCCCTAGCTCACCTTGTCTCCACCAAAGATTGAGGCTCTTCAAAGCCTGAGTAGAATGATGTGCCCAGTAAGGCAGAGGAGCACAGAGCGTGAGCCTGCTGCCCTCTGAGCTCCCAGCCATGGCAGCATTCCCAAACGACTTGCATGACCATAAGAGGCAGCTGTTGCACTGCTCGGGAGGGCCAGCTTCACCAGGCCTGTACGTCCCTGCTGTGTCTGCACCAGGACCTTCTCTCAGTGCCTGTGCCTGCATGACAGGGGCTGTTCCACCCATGTCCACCTAGAGCCCTTGTGGTCAGGCCTGGCCATGGCCCGCACAATGCCAACAAAAATAGATATTACCAAAAAAAAAAAAACCAAAATAGATATTAGCTTTATTTTCTAGATAAGAAAACTGAAGTTCAAAAAGTTTTTAAATGCATTTCTCAGACCCCCCCACCCTCCACTTAGCAAGTTGACTTGCTAGTCAACTCAGACTTAATTCAGTCTGACTTGAAAGCCAAGACTTTAACTGCCACCCTCTGCAGAATCCCTTAGGGATATACAGCTGCTTCCTTGGGAATGCCAGAAAAATAGTCCACACAGAGGACAACAATTTGAAAATCTGAATACTTTAATCTTTCGCTTAAGTCACGTGAGTGGAATCACATAGATGATGATAGCAGTAGCCTTGATCTGCAGGCCAGTGGCATGAATTAAAATAACCCATTGCATTAATTATCAAATAATTTGATATCCTCTTGTTGCCAGGCAGAGTGGAGATACAAAGTGTAAGACATCAGCCCTGTCCTTGAAGAACTGGTGGTATAATTAAAGAGAGATAATAGTAATTCCACTGGCAGATAATATTTACTGAGTGGTTCCTCTGCACCAGCCCCTTGGGCTCAAGTCCCTTGATGTGAACCACCTCAAGGAAGACCAGCAATATAAAACATGGACAGTTTAATGCTAAGTGAGTAGCCAGACACAGACAAAAAGTACTCTCTGTGATATGTTAACATACCAGTTAGCATCTACTAAGATAAGTATTCTTTAAGGGCATGTGGCAATGTTGTGCTTTACCTGAAATGCCAGTGTCTGAACCAGAAGTTGATATATGAGAATGGCACAATATGGCCACTGAGAACCAGTAGAATGAAACCAGACCTTCTATGGAGAGCTTTGTGGCTCCTAGTCTAGAATCTCTCGACTGTTCCTCTTTTCCATAAACCATGTGTTATGTAAGATCAAGTGCTAAAATATCCAGAGGAAGGAAGAACAATATAATCCATGGTTCACATGTATTCTTCTACTTTAGCAGTGGCAAGCATTGCTAGCTATCTACCCAATATCCATTCTCTCCTTTTTCACAATCAGAACCCTGCTTTATTTATCAGAAATATGTCTGGATGTTTTAAAAATCCCATCCTCCCTTGAAACAAGGCATGCCAAAGCAGTTCCGCTGTGGCCAATAATATTTAAACAGAAGCTTCTGGGCAGGGCTTCTGGAAAGCTCTTAGCTGGCGTGATCCTTTTTGCCTTTTCCTCTTTTAATGCCTGAAATGTAGGCAACCTACAGGAGGTGGAGCACTTATTTTGCAACCTTGCAATAACACACTTGAAAATGAAACTGCCTGGAAAAGAAGGCTTAGCTGGAAGAGGGAAGATGCCTGAGTCCATGATAGAATCCCTTAGCCTCTCACATACCAGCCCAAGACAGCCCACCTCCAGCTTCTTGATATGTGAGAAAAATGAAGCCTCTTTTGGTTAAGCACCCCAAATTTGTTGACCCTTATGTTCCTGACACACTTGTTGGAATTAGAAATGTAAGTGCTTATTAACAATAAATTAGGTTTCTTAAATAATGCCTTCTATGAAAATAAATAATTGAACTGTCTGGTTTCCCAGGGGAATTTCACAGCTGGGGGAATTTATACCTGACATTGAGTTACATTGTTTTGTTTAGAGATGGCCATAATCAAGGCATTGGTTCAGAGTCTAAGTTGAACTTTACATAACTGTACAAAAATCAAATGATTAATTTGCTACTGCCTATCTTAGGGGTGCATTTCTTTTCAGATTATATATTTATATATAATATATAACAAAATATACAGTCTTATTAACCCCATTGCTAACTTTATTGGAAATTTTTAACAACTCAGTATTCATTTTATCCTACACTGTATTGACTATTTTGTTGACTGAATTGACTGATCAGTTAATTACAAACAGTCAAATAGACTTTAAATATGGATCAAACTTCAATGTAGACATTTATGTCCATGTGGGCAAAAAGTTATTAGATCCAGAGACCAAAACAAAATAAGAACACCTTGGCTTTTTAGCCATTCACCAATGGGTTGTATGATTTTAAAATATTTGCCATGTGCCTGTATCCCAGTTATGCAGGAAACTGAGGCAGGAGAATCGCTTGAGCCTTGGAGTTTGCGGCCAGCATGGGCAACATAGTAAGATTCCATCTCTAAAAAAATTAAATTTAAAAAAATTTAAAAATTTTAGCAAAATAAAATGTTTGCCATTTTATCCATTGGTTCCCAAATCTAGACCCCTGCCTCCTTCAAGCCTTTACCATGTGATAAGGGAAACCCAAAGATGTCATTGATCTGATTCTTGCCCTCAAGAAACTTATAATCCAAATTGGGAGACAGAACTCCTGTGTTTATTGGTTATGAGCATATACTCTAGAATCATACAGACCCATCTGGGTTCTGCCTCTTATTTGTTGTGTGACCTCAGGCAAACCTCTCCAAGTCTCCAATGACTCATTTGCAAAACCATGACAATACTGCCTGTCCTATGACATGGTTATTGGTCTCATTGCACTTATAATTTATACTAGATTGAAACATTAAATGTATTAAATTATTTGTGCACAAGCTTTTACCTCCCAATAAGGATATTAGCTCCTTAGTACATTGCTTAAAGTTTGATTGTAGATTATAGTTGTTGAATAAAGGCAGCATGTGATATTTGCTCTATGGGCAATATATGCAATAAATGCTTAGAGACAGAGAGAGAAAGCTCAGGAAAAATGATGCTAAGTTTATATTTCCAATAAAGTAAAAACAGTATAATTAGGAAAGTGCATTTTTGAAGTTGGTTACGTGTAGGCCATTGGCTTGGGGCATGCTTGCACCAGATTCTTAACATTCACCTTTCAGGCACATGTCAGCTGCTTTCCAAATGGTATATGAAGCAGAAGAATGAAGAGTTTTCTTTACTTTTTTTTTTTTTATCAGCCTTGAAGAGTGGAGGTAAATATTGGTTGTCTGTATTCAAGTAATTGAAGTTTTGTGAAGAACTGGAAGTCCACAGTATACTTAGTATAGTGGGTTGAATTATGCCCTGCAAAAGATACCTTCATGTCCTAGGCCCCAGAATCTGTGAATGTGACCTTAATTGGAAAAAGAGTCTTTGCAGATATGATGAAGGATTTAAGATGAGATCAGGTGGTGACTCAGGTGGTCCCTAAATCCAGTGACAAACATCCTTATAAGGGACAGAAGAGAAGTCAGAAGGATGAGAAGGCCGTGTGAAGACAGAGTGATGTAGCCACAAGTGAAAGACACCTGGAGCTACCAGCAGCTGGAAGAGGCAAGGGAGGATCCTCCCCTCAAGCCTCCAGAGAGAGCATGATTCTACTGATACCTTGATGTGGGATTTTGGAACTGTGAGAGAATAAATTTCCACTGGTTAAGCCACTCAGTTTGTGGTAACTTGTTACAGCAGCCACAAGAAGTATATACCTTGGGGAGGTGAATTGTACACAACAATCAACTACTTTTTGTGTACTTTTCCACGTACCACTCAAATCCTTACCATACCAGGTTAGTTACAAAGACATGAAAATAGAAAAAAAAAAAAAAAAAGATACAGAAGAAATATTTCCTCCCATTTTTTTCTGAATTTTCATTTTTGAGGCAAGATCAGGGTTGTGCTTGTGTTTTTGGGTAAGATGTTCCTTGTCCTCACAGCTGGATTGGGGGTTAGTTGGTGCTTACTGTAGGAAAGCTATGCTTCCTCCTTGGGGCAATGCATCCCTCCACTTTTCAATTCCCTTCAAAGAAAACTTCTCTCTGCTGAAATGCATTTCAGTGGACTCAGAGGTGCATCTCTACTCTGTCTATTCCAAGGATTCCCATTAATAGTTTCAAACAAATTTGTCCCATGATGTTTCCTCAGTCTCGGTTTATAAAACATGTGTCCACTTTTTAACTTAGAAACCCCCCAAGGCACATGCAATGCTGCACAAAGATAGAAAGATCATTATCTTCCCCCACACACACTTTAAAAGCACAGATCATAGCACTTGCATGGCTAACTCGAGCAATTTACTGGGCCACAAGTTTGAGTATTATAGTTCACCATGAAATGTGAATATAAAAATATCAGCCCATAAACTTGAATGTGGAGTTAATTATTCTTTAATGTCAAGATTGCTGATGGTTTTGCTTTTCTGGAACGTTTCTGCCATATTTCTCTGGAAGTAGTAAAGAGATCCTGAGACTTTCCTTTTCCCTTTGATATTTTTGGTGTTTATGTGTCTAGGTCCAATTGAAACCAGGAAGTTAAAAGCTTGTGATAAACCTGGTTGTCTTTTAAACCCTTGGGGGCTTACTTGAGAAGAGGCTCATTCTCAGTAATTCCGTGGCAGAATTAGACATAGTAAGTTAGACATACCACCACGGGCCCCTGTAACAGGGCCTGGCACCATAACAAGGACATTCTCTGACTCTCAAGAGTGAAGCCTGCAAGTGGCATTTCGTTAGTTAAGCCCCTGAGTCTTATGTAATGCTAACTGACATTCTGGTTTATAAGATCTCATCTCATGTCAGCTTGATGTCTGGAGCTACTGTTCTTAATGCTCCCAGGGCCTCGGAGGCTGACCGAACTCACTGGAGTCTGAGATGGGAGAATAATGAGGTGAGGACCTGTTAACCATCCCCTGGGTCTCTGCGTTTGAGAGCTCATGCAGCCAGAGGCTCACTTACTGTCCCCTCATTTTATCTGCTTTTAGACCTGCTCCTTTAGGATGCCACTAATACCAGGAACAAAGCTGATGAGTCCTGGGTCTGGCTTTCTGATTCTCACTCAGTGCAAAGAATGCTTTGATGTGAACTGCAGATGCATGTGACTTCTGTCGCTGCATTAGATGACATTTAATAAAAATCCAGCACCTTCTGCTAAGGATTCTGTTCTGCTCTGTGTTCCCATTCCTCGTTGCCCATCTCACGTCCATCCCCAGCATTTGTTGTTGCTTTTCTGAGTGGCAGTTTGAAGTTCTGGCCTTTCTCCTGACTATATCCTGGGGTGTAGCAGTCACTGGTACTAGACACCCCTCTCCTCATTAAATTCAGCTTTCTCAGATTGAGCCAGTTCAATCGGTTGGCAGCAAAGCAAATGTGTCTCCTTTAAGAAAGAGAAGTTTCGAGTCCTTTCTTGTATCCATCTGCCCAAAGCATCCTTCCATTCTCTTTCTCTCTGTATCTCCCTTCCAAAGCTTTACTCGAACGCTTGTATGTCAGCTATGAGGTTGGATTAGGGAAATTGAAATGATTAGACACCCTATCTCGACCTTACCCTATCTCGACCTTACCGTCACATTCTCCTCAGGCTTTGCAGGAAGAAAGGAAGGCCAGCAGGAGTATGAGAACAAACAAGATAGAGGGAGTGATCCAAACTCTGATCTGTTAATCCAAAGGGGCAGAGAAAAATGAAAAGTGGCATAAAGCCATCAAGAGATGGGACAGTCCTCCTTTATCCAAAGCATCTTCCTCCCACTCTGTTCTGTCCCTGTCAGAACTCTATGACTACACAGAGCTCCATGGAAGGAAGACAGAGAGAGGGAAAGCTCACAGAAGTGAACAGTTGCCACTAGTCTCCATGCTCTGACCTGGTGGTGTGTCCAGGTCTTGTTGTACTTGAACTCTCCTCAACCTTGGACTCCAGTGACCATTTTATAGCTGTGCAAGGTCTGCGCTGTTTTTCATATGCAGAGTTGGTGGATCTACTGATTCAGAAGACAAGCATGTGGAACTGCTTTTTTGGAATTGGAGTAGTGTTGCTATCAAGGAAGACTGTTTGCCTTTCTTCCTCTGATAACTTCCTTACTTGGGAAGCAAACTCAGAACTTTATCCTTGTTCATTCCACATTCTCAGAAGCTAAGAAAACAGAATTAGACAGTTGCTATCAAAGGAACAATGTTCCGAACCACTTGTTCGGAAAACTCTAGCAACTTTGATGTACATGAAAACGTGGATCATTTTCAAAACAGCACTGTGTTCAGAATTGTTATCCTTTACTGCATGATGCTTTTCGGGTTGAATGATTATAATCATAATATGGACAAGAAAGAGTACAAACTTGCTTCTAAAATTTTAAGCAGAAACTTTCTGAAGTTTGTCAAGAAGATCATTTTTCACCTAAATAATGGCATTTCCTGTTTTAATTTCATCTATTGATCTTTAGAGCAGATGGTCTAAATGACCTAAGCCTATCTCAGGATGGTTTGATTCATTCTTTCAGAGGAGCTGACACCCTGGAAGTATAAACAACCAAATGACTCAGGAGAATAAAGTTAGTGGAATCCCTCTGCTGTATCAACACTGTTGTGGATTTCTGCCAGTCACACCTGGCAAACAGACTTTCCCAGGAGGATCAAGTATATAAAGGCGTGAAGCACCTGAAAACTGTCAGGCATTCTTATCATCCTTCTTATTATTATGAGCAAGGGAAAAGAGATGGACATGAACTTCCAGCCATTTGGTAGGATATCTCTGTGGATTGTGGAATCCATTGCTAGCAATAGCCTTGCTGCAGGGTAGCACAGTGCAAGTAATGACATTGGAATATACTGTGTGCTGATGGAAAAAAGGTGCATTTAAATAGAAATAAGTATTTATCATCTTACTGTCTTTTAAAAAGCTTATCCTAAGGGGGGAAAATCCTTCTTAGGGCACAATAATTTGCACATTTGCAGTATTTACAGTTCCACATTGTTCTGCGATGACAAAAGTGTCACCTCTTTCCTACTTCCCTGGCAACTTCTGATGTGTCTGTCAAGTCCCCAAAGCAGATTCATTATGGAATGTCTTTTGACAAGAGCCCTAGTGGCGGAACCAGAGCTACAAAAACATCTGGGATTCTCTGTGTGTAGGAAGTGTATTGGGTACATTTTGAAGGAATAACAGACATTGAACTTTATAGAACTGCTACCCAAGACATTTTTTAAGTGGATTACTCTTCAACTTGAAAGATGTGGCTTTTTAAGAGAGGCCTGTAGGCTGTTATTTATCTTTGCTCTTGTGCCAATATCAGTATAATTTGTCATTGGTTAGGTCTTGGGGCTGCAGAGTCTGTAGTAATCCCACACATAATGAGACTTTTCACCTGTTTTTGAAATTCAAGAAGGGTTAAGATTGCTTAAATGTGTACCATTCTTTAAAAGTTATAATCCTGGTTTTTGTTCAGATTGACTGTTCAAGTCTTTTTTTCCCCTGCCAACTTTTAGATTGTCTGTTGAAAAGTGACATAATAGCATTAACCTTATCCTGCCATTTAAATCTCAAAATTCACATTTCTAGAAGCAAGCAAGCACATTTCTTATGTTATCATTTAAGTATTCTGTGTAATTCTTTTTGTTTGGTCCTTTAACAAAAATTGAGTTCTTTGTGCATGGCACTCACATTCCAGTGAATAAAAGGGATTTGCAAACAAATAATGGGCTATCATGGTATAACAAATATGTCCCAAGCACTGTGGGAGCCCAGAAGGGACACGGACAGCTTCTGACAAGGTGAAGGGATTGGGTAGATTTCACAGATGTAATATTTGAAGTAGGACTTGTTGGGACAATTATCATTAACTTAGAAGGATTTAGGATCCAACACATGGGTAGCAATAGTCTAGGTGAAAGACTAATGGAACTTGAATTAAGACAGAGGCAGTGGCAGGAGTTGTATTTGAAATCTTTTGGAGACTTGTTCAATTGACTGGATATAGGGGCTGAGGGAGATGGAGAAATCACAGATGGTGCATATTCCTGGTTGGATATTGAGTAAATATGGGGCGCAAGGGGAAGACTAGGCATAGTGGCGTGTTCCTTTAGTCCTAGCTACTCGGGAGGATGAGGTGAGAGGATCTCTTGAGCCCAGGAGTTCAAGGCTGCAGTGAGCTATTATTGTACCACTGCACTTCAGCCTGGGAAACAGAGGGAGACTCTATCTAGAAAAAAAAAAAAAGTATACCTTGCCTTAGGTAGAAAATCCAGGAGAAGAAGGCATTTAAAGGCAAGATAATAAATTTTATTTTATTTTAGACATGCTCAATGTGTGGTATCTAAATGCAATCCTGAGGGAATGTTCAGTGGAGGTTTGCATAATCAAGACAAGTTCTAGGCTCAATAGATACATATGGGAATCGTCCTAAGCATGATATATAAAATCTTTTGTGAAATAGTCCCTGATTATGTTTCTAGCTTTATCTCTTGCTATTTAACCTCCCTAATAATGTTTTTCAGGCTGACTTAACTACATGCAGTTGTATCCTCTCTTGCCTCTGGGTTTTTACATATAGTCTTCATTGTGCCTGAAATGTCCTTTCTCTGTAAATGGAAAAGCAAAAAAAAAAAAAAAAAAGAACAAAGAACAAAAGGAAACAAAATAACAGTCTCAGTAAAAAATATTATTGATATAGAGGAATAATACTCAATAGTTAAAATGAATAGATTTGACCTACGTTTATGAACATGAATAGATGGATATGTACAGCGTGATACCATTTTATGGTATTATATACCATAGGTATGTAGTAAATACACATAGAAGTAAAAGAACTGACAACTTGAACATGATGAACAGAATATGCA